GGGGCTTCAGGGCGGGCACGGGGGAAGGGCACAGCTGCCGCGGCTGCCAAAGCCACCGTGAGATGGCCCCGCAGACCCCTCCTTTGCCCCTGCCTGGTGAGCTGGCTGCAGGACCACAGCGGGGAAACAGCCCCTTCTCTAGCCTCATTTTCCCCGGATCCCTCTTTTTTTTTGCTAAAAGCATTCACCAGCCACAGCCCAGCAAGGGCAGTTTCTGTGCAGATGTGCCTGGGGAGGAGGAGGGAGGGAGAGGTGACAGGGGCCAAAGTGCCAGCGGCAGAGCACTGCCCCTACCTTGGGCTCCATGATCTTCCACCCGCTGGCCTTCAGCTCCTGGAGCTCCGCAAACTTCATGCTGACGTCCTCAATGGAGAGCTGCAGGAGGTCCCAAAAGCCAGCCAGGTCTTGGAAGGTGGGCACGGGGAATGCGTTGGGATCCTGCAGGGACAGAGGAACAGTGTCATCTGTGTCCACCCACATCACATTGGCCCTGCTGGCCATGCTCTCTGTCTGCCTGTCCCTCATGGTGCTACAAAGTCCCTTTTCCACCAGCTGATGGTACAAGGCTCCCTGCCCACCATGGCTGACCCTGTGGCACCACTGCCCAGAACTCACCATGTTCTGCTGGCAGAGGCGGTAAAATTGCTGCACCTTCTGGGACATGAGGAGCTGGGCACTGCCCACAGCACTCCGGATCTTCTCCAGGACTGGTGGGTGGAGAGCAGAGGGTCAGTACTTCTGTGGGGCAGAGACCTCCCCTCGGGAGGAGCAACACACCCCAGGCAGTCCAGACTCCCCCAACCCAGGCAGGATCTCCTCCCTCATCCAGACCCCACTAGTCCCAGAGGGTTTCACCATGTTTCTTGCCCCCACCCAACCACTTTAGCCTTGGCAGGGGAGATGCTCCAAGGTGGGAGCACTGCAGAACTGAGTCCCACGGCAGCCCCTGTCCCTCCCAACCCCACAAATTCCCCCGACTCACTCTCCTCTGGCAGGTCATAGTCCTCGGCCTCCCTCTCCATCTGCTGGCACCAGCCCTCCATCTTCTCCACCTCTGCTTGCAGCAGTTTGATGAACCATTCCCCATCACGGTGGCAGGGGGAGGCACGGCCAGAGTCGGGGAGGCTGCGGGAGCCCCTCTCCATCCAGGCATCCCTCCCGGGCACCTCCACCGTGTCGTACTGCAGCTGGTAATCCTCCCGGTACGCCCACTGCCCCTGCGTGTGCACTGTCTTGTACACAGCGTACTGCCGGCCGGACTCGGGCTCGGAGGAGTGCCGCTGGAAGGGGCGCCCGAACTGCAGGGCTTTGTCCTCGGTGGCCACGGCCAGGCCAGCAAACCCCTCCAGCTCCAGGTCTGCCTGCACGCCCGCCGTCACGCTGTTGGAGCGCTTGAAGCGTGCCCGCCTGGGGAGAGCGAGAGCGCGTGGGGACCTTCGTGGCCGGACGGGACAACCCCACTGCCATGTCCCCACACCAGGTACCATCGCAGGCAGGATGGGGCTGGGGACAATGGTCTGGACCCCAGGGCATTTGGGGCAGTGGGGACAGCCCTGAGCATCAGCAACCCACCAGTCCCTCGTTCCCTCTGCTCTTAGCCTGTTTCCATGGCTACCAGCGCTGGACCGAGGATGGAGAGGAGCGTGCACCAGGGCTGCGTGGGCACGTTGTCGGAGCTCCTGGCACACGGTGCTCCCACCCCAGCCAAAATGTCATGTTTAGCTGCAGAAAAGCCCAAAGGTTTCAGCTATGCCTGGGCCAGGGCTGAGCCCCAGCAGAGGAGACTCAAGCATATGGTGGAAGCAGGGGAGCCCCTTCCTTGGGCAGCTCCTTCCCTGGGCAACTCCTTCTCTGGGCACCCCCCTCCCTGGGCAGTCGGTTTGCAGCAGAGAGGTGCAAGGGCAAAGGGAAGGCAAGATCCTGCCCCCAGTGGGGATACCCAGCCTGGGCTGAGGATGGTGCTGAGCCCTGGGGCTTTCAGTCAGATGAGAGAGGGAAAAGATGCTGCAGGGCAGCTCAGGGAGCCCCAGGAGGACCCAAGCCCAGGGTGCAGCGAGCGTGGCAGTTCTCAGCCCAGCCCAGGGGTACCTTTTGTCCTCCTCCACCTGCACGCCTATGGAGTGGAACTCCCTCTGGCTCCTGCTCTCTGTATCCGAGTCCGAGATGGCCTCAACCTGCGGGGGGGCAGAGGGAGAGCGCTGGCAGGTGGCCCGAGGCACCGCGTGGCCGCTCAGCATCGCCCCTGCCCCTGGAGCCCACCTGGACGCCGATGGAGGGACGCCACTTCCGCTGCCGAGCCAAGCTCCTCAGCTCTTCCCGACCAGGAATGGCCTTGATGATGAGTGTGGAAGGCTTGGGAGCAGCGCGGGGCTGGACTGGAGGCAGCTCCAGGGCCACGGCCGACACCTTGGAGCTCTCCAGGCTCTCGGCAGAGTTGCAACGGGCCGCGGCGTCTTTGGACCATGCGGGGCTGCGGGCGACCTCGCTGGGCAGGTAGGTCTCGTGGGTGGACTCGGTGCTGCTCTGCGCCGTGACAGAGATGAGGGGTTTGGCTTTGGTTCCTGGAGGGATGGGAGGTGGAGCTTTTCTGTAACTGAAGGCTGTTGTGGGAGAGGCGCAGGATGAAAAGGCGCGTGAAAACACAGACACTTGCTCATATCCCGCCACGAATGGGGGCCCCAGGGGAACATGGGTTTACACCTTGGCTGCCTGAGATCAGGGCTGGAGCTCAGAGGGGCTATTTGGCCAGTTCATCCCCAGAAAGGGACTGAAAACCACCCCACACCCATGCTGGCCAGACTGCTGCAGCCCCCAGCAAGGGGCAGAGATGAGGAAATAAAGTAGGGGAAAGAAGAGAGAACTGCAGATGAGTGCTGGGGGCACAGAGCTTTCCTCTGCCCAGGGCTGAGTCACAAGCAGGATGCTCACACCCTGAGTCAGGGACTGCATGGGGCTGAGGGCTGCACGGGGTGGAGGCCAGGAGCAGGGGCAGCAGCAGCCCTCGGTGGGTGCCCAGGCAAGCAGGGGGGGAGACACAGGGGTCCCTCACACGGCCGAGCTCCCACCACCCCCCAGGACTCACAGGTGCTGGGCTTCAGGATGCTGCTGGTGATGGGCGGCCCGGCAGGGGCCGACATGGAGAAGAGGGAGAGGCAGTCATCGTCCGGGGAGCAGCCCGCCTGGATGGCCCGCAGGTAGCTGTGGCTCCGCATGCGGAAGCAGCCGGGCAGGTCCAGAGCTTCCACAGCCTGCGACTCCACCTCGCCAAACACCGACTCGCAGACGGCCTCAAACTGGTGGTTGAGCTCGTCATTGATCTGGGGAGAGCGGCGGGTAAGGTTGGGGTGGGACAAGCTGGGGCTGGGGCTGAGCAGGGCAGGGGATGCTCAGAGGAGCATCTGTCAGCCCCCGTGCCCCACAGCGTGACAAAGAACCCTACCTGGCCGGTGGTGAAGGAGCGCCCGTAGCCCTGTCCCCGGGGGAGCACTCGCGGTGGCGTGCAGCAGCTGGGACAGTTACAGATATATGAATCAGAATAGTGCCTACTTGCAAACCTAATGAGAGACAGCGGGAATAGAAGGGATTGCACCAACAGCAACACATTCCAGCAGAGCATTCGGAAACGCAGCCGCAGCGATGCTCGCCCCAGCCCCACTCCTGGCTTCCCCGAAACGCTGTCCTGAGGGTACAAACCTGTCCCCCTGTGGGGCTGGGGACAAGGAGCCAGCCTATCACCTGCCAGGAGTGGGATCCCCTTTTGCATGTGCATCAGCCTTCCCTCAGAGCCGCAGCAGCAGATCCCACCCCAAAGCCCAGCACAGCTGTGTCCCCCCCCAGCACCCACCAAAGGCAGCCCCAGCCCATGGCCCCACAGCCCCACTGCCACCAGCCGTGCTGAGACGGGGCCAGGAGGTGACAGCCCTTACTTGGTCCTGGCCTGGTCGGCGCTGGAGGAGCGGCGGTAGCTGTCTCGCCGCGTGGCTGCCCTGGGCAATATTTTGGCACTGGCGTCCGAGTCGGCGCTGTCCTCGTCACCCATGGCCTTGATGTAGCTGCCGCTGCGCATCCGCCGGCAGGGGATCTCCCCGTCCTTGCCCACCGCGGGGTACCCACTCCACTCATCCTGCGGCACCTGGGCCGGGAGGAAGCAAGCGTGGGTGGTCAGGTTCCCACAGCCAAGCCCCGTGTCCAGCGTGTGGCACACGCCAGCCTGAGCCCGGCACAACCCAAACCCGCTGTGTGTGCCCCGGCATGGCTCCCTGCCCTCCTCTCAGCACCCCAGGGCTGTCAGGACAGACCCTAGGGGCTCTAGCCCCCCTGAAACAGACCCCACATCCAGCAGAGCTGACCCCTCCCAACAGCCACAGCTCCCCATGTATTCCCAAAACACGGAGCAGCGCAGCCGCCCCCACCTCGCAGCCCCCCCGGCAGGCACGGCTGGGCCAAATCCCACCCATGCCACTGCGGCCGCCCCACTGACGTAGCAGCCACTGGTCCCACCAGACGCTGCTGACGCTGGTACCACGGGGTCCATACCGGGCTGTGGTGGTAGGACGGTGTCCCCCAGTCCCCACAGGGAGGGTAGTGGGGCTGCCACCCTGTCCCAGTGCCTCCACTGCTGGAGGAGAGGGGCCCCAGACACCCCCCCCCGTGCCCAACTAGCACAGCATTGCTGCTCCCTGTCTCCTTCCCCCAGGAAAGGGAAAGAAGAGTTAATTGGATTTTAATTGGAAGGGGGGTGACCTAGAAGGGAGCCCAGTGACGAGGCAGGCAGTGGCACGAGGCCAGGCACAAAAGGAATAAAAGCCATGAGAAGGGAGTAGGCACAGAGCCACTGGCAGCCCTGAGCCAACAGAGCTGGTCTGACCCCAAAGGCAGCAGGCACAGGGCAGGAGATGGCAGATCAGGCTTTGGACAGTGGGGACCAGCACAAGACCCTGGGGACGTGGAGCAGGTGCTGGGGACATGGAGACATGGAACAGAGCTGGAGCATCCCCACACCACTGCCAGGAAGGAGGGTCCCAGCCCCATGGCAGCGCTGGCCCTGCCCAGCCCCTCACCTGCAGGTACTGGTACGCTCGGTCTTTGGCCTTTGCTTCCTGAAGCATCAAGGTCTTCTCGGTGCCGCCGGCACTGGGATAGGCTTCCCGGGCCTGGCTGACAGTCATGGTGTGCCAGGCGCTCCTCTTGAGCGTCTGGCCATCCAGAGACATGGACATGCCAGCACAGGCCAGGCATTTTCCTTCCCCGCCGCCCTTTAGACTCTTCAAGGTCAAGTCTCTGAAGGCACTTTCGGGAGCGTCCACACAGTACTGGGTGGCCTGGTCGGTGCCGTGCCGGCCAGACACCATGTAGCTGCTGTCGCTGTCCAGGTTGTCGTCGGAGCTCCACCAGCCCATCATCTTGGACCGGTGCCGGGAGTCCACCTTGCGGTCCTTGCTCTTGCTGCGCTTGCCGTGGCGGGACTGGTGGTGGTGGTGGTGGTGGTGATGGTGGTGGTGGTGGTGGTAGCCGTCCCCGCGGCCGTCCATCTTGGCGCCGTTATAGTCCCGCTTGGCCGGCGCCTCCAGGGAGGGGGACTTGGCAAAGAGCTTCTGGACGG